AGAAAAAAAAACCAGAAAGTCCAGTTGCCTTCTGTAAAAGCGCCTTTGGGACTTCACAAAATAGATTTGCTAAAGTCCCTTAGAAAAGAACACTAATTTCCAAAACTGGATTTGCCGTTTTTTTTTTTTAATTCCCACATTGTAAATAGATAGACTTTCTCGTGATTTCTGTCCAAATTAATATGTCAACTTCTTCCCTAAATCCACAAGATTAGATTAGATTTACAGAGTTGGAAGGGACCTTGTAAATCATCTAATCCAACCCCCTTCCCCCCGAGCAGGAGACCCTACACCATTTCTGACCGATGGCAGTCCAATCTCTTCTTGAAAGCCTCCAGTGATGAAGCTCCCACAACTTCCGAAGGCAACTTCTGTTCCATCGGTTGATTGTTCTCACTGTCAGAAAATTTCTCCTTATTTCTAGATTGAATCTCTCTTGGATCAGTTTCCATCCATTATTCCTTGTCTGGCCTTCAGGTGCCTTGGAAAACAGGTTGACCTCCTCCTCTCTGTGGCAGCCCCTCAAATATTGGAACATTGCTATCATGTCTCCCTCTTCATTAGACCAGCCATGCCCAGTTCCTGTAAGCCAGAACATGTACAGTCTTCTTCACTGTTTCAGCTGTTTATCATCCTCCTGATGAAACTGAGACATGGATGGTTCTTTATCTAGGAAAGCATCAAGGCTTCTGAACCAGAGGAGATTTTGGAAGCATCACTAGAACAAGAATTTCTGAAAGGAGTCTCTGAATCCCAAACCAAATAGACAACCCTCTAGTCCATTCCCTTCCATGTGAAACGTACCTTCTTGCAGTTGGTAACATTGATGGCTGGCGGTCAAATTTCAATGCTTGAAAGAGAGAAAACTTTTCCAGGAGCAAATTCCCTCCAATAATGAGATCCCCAGACCTGTAGTAGTCCTTCACAGTTCTCAAAGGGTTCCTCGGTGCACAAACAGTTTGCAATATCTTGTGAGTTGTTGAAGGCAAGAGCCAAAAGAGAAGCGGCAGGAGAAGCAGCCTATTCATTATTCTCACCTTCCCTCCTAGACCAAAAAAAATATCAATGTTTATTGAGGACCTGAACTGTTGGTAGCTCTCAAAAAAAAAAAAATCTCACCTTTAGGAGTAAATCAGCAAGCTAATAATAATACTTTAGGAGTAAATCAGCAAATTAATAATAATACTTTAGGAGTAAATCAGCAAGCTAATAAAATAATAATAATAATAATAATAATAATAATAATAATAATAATAATAATAATATTGATTTGAAAAATGTGCTATACTATCCATGCAGCGAGGAAAAATGGAAAAAATAGAAGGAATAGAACTGGGAAATGGAAGCATTGTGAAAGCATTAGCAAAGGATGACAGTTACAAATACCTAGGCATTTTGGAAGCAGATAACATCTTGAATGGAAGTCAAAGAGTCAATGCAAAGGACTACATCAGGAGGGTCCGCAAAATATTAAAATCAAAACTGAATGTTGGAAACATAATTAAAGCCATTAATACATGGGCAGTCCCAGTGATACGCTACCCAGCTGGAATCATCAACTGGACTGTGGCTGAACTGGAAAACCTGGCCCAGAAAACATGTAAACTTTTGAATATGTTCCATGCTTTACATCCACAAAGTGACACCAACAGGTTGTACCTGCCAAGAAGAATAGGGGGCAGATGGCTATTGCAAATCCATCAAACTGTAGAAAAAGAAAAATGAAGTTTGAATGATTATGTGAACCAAAGCACAGAAAGATTGCTGCAGGCTGTGAAAACGGGGAACATTATAAAAACAACAGAAACAAAGGCAGAATATAAGGAAAAACAGTTGGATGACAGATTAAATGGATGGAAAACCAAAGCTCTGCATGGACACCACTTGAAAAACATTGAAGGAAAGTGTGATAACAACTTTTTTTTTTTAATTTGATTTATATGCCGCCCTTCTCCGGAGACTCAGGGCGGCTTACAATGTGCTCAGCAATAGCCTTCATCCTTTTGTATATTTATACAAAGTCAGCTTATTGCCCCCACAACTGGGTCCTCAATTTACCTACCTTAGAAAGGATGGAAGGCTGAGTCAACCTTGAGCCTTGGCGAGATTCAAACCTGCAGTAATTGCAGGCAGCTGGTCTTAATAACCAGCTTAATAACAGGGTGCCTTAGACCACTGTACTACCAAGGCTCTTGGTAGACATGGGCATGGCTTAAGAGAGGAACCATCAAGAAAGAAACAGAAGGTTTAATACTTGCTGCTCAAGAACAAGCACTACAAACTAATGCCATGAAAGCAAAGATACAAAAATCCACTGACAATCCAAACTGCTGACTTTGCAACGACAAAGTTGAAAGTGTTTCACACTTAATATGCGAGTGCAGCAAAATCGCGCAAACTGATTACAAAGCTAGACATGATTGAGTTGCTAAATTAGTCCACTGGTCATTATGTAAAAAATACAACATACCTGTATCCAAAAAGTCATGGGAGCACAAAGTGGAAAAAGTTATTGAAAATGAGACAGTGAAGATCTTGTGAGATTTTCTAATACAGACGGATCGTCATTTGGAACATGCCAGATATTATGGTTGTTGAGGGCCGAAGTGTGCACTTTATTGATATTGCTGTATCAGGAGACACCAGAGTGAAAGAAAAAAAACTGGAAAAAATTCATGAAATATCATGACCTGGCCATCGAAACTACACGGCTATGGATGAAACATGTAACAGTGATACCCATTGTCATTGGGGCACTTGGTACCATGTCCAAGAATGCAAAAACATATCAAGAAATTGCAGCTTCCTGCAATAACATCAGCAGAACCGCAAAAAACTACGTTACTCAGAACATCATATATTTTAAGAAGATACTTCGTTGATACCTAGGATGCTGGCAGCAACTCGTATCAACCATTAGCACCAATCGTATTTGTGATACATTTTTAAATGTTCAGTTGACTGAGTTTCATGTTTAATGAATAAAAGAAATAATCATCATCATCAACATCCAGTTCAATTTGCATCTTTCATTTTAATAATGTTGGGAAAATGCTAATGTGCCCTATTATTGTGCCCTATTGTGAAACTGTGCTTTTGGAGTCTTCATTCTTAAATAAAATATATTTTATACAGTTGTATACCTTGCAATAAAATTATAGCTTTACCAGAAATTAATAAACTGTTCATTTATGCATTTCCCAGTGCTAAAAATTTTATTCAATAGTAATGGTCCAATATGCACATTTAAAGATATTAGTTTCAGACTATTAGAAAATACAACATTGTATCTTCTTTTAAAATACTCCTCTTAATAAGATAATACAAATAGCCCACAATTATGTATTTTATACATCATTGCTTTCAGTGTTGGAGGTACAAACATACTTAAATTTCTGGAAAGCAAAATTCAGCAGAATTTTAATTTAGGGGATCATCATCATCATCATCTTCTTAGCCATTGTCTATCCATTGCAGGATGAAGGCCTCTTCCACATGTTTCCAACCTATACAGTCCTGAGCTTTCTTTTGCCAATTGGGCCCGCAATACTTGCTGATTTCGTCGATCCATCTTGTTTTAGTTCTCTTTCATGGACACTTTTTATCAAGTGGGATCCATTCTATAACTGCCTTGGTCCACCTGCCATCAGTTCCTCTTGCTATGTGACCATCCCATTTCCATTTCAATTCTTTTACTCTCTTGATGGTATTGTGTATACTTTCATTTGTTCTCTAATCCATGTGCAGGACTTTCTATCTTGTCTTGTAATGCCGAGCTTGTATCTTTCCACGGCTCTTTGCGCCACTCATAGCTTTTGTATCGGCTGTAAGGTTAGTGTCCATGTTAGAGCAGATAGCACATACTGATCGATATTTTTTCTCTTTAGGCATAGGGAGAGGTTGTTCTTGAAAATTATGCTTAGCTTGCCAAATGCCTGCCAACCACATCTAACACACAATTTCCTTTATTTCAGAGCACATGATCCCCTAAATTCAAAAAAATAAAGGAAATAGAATTTAGGGAATCATTTGCTTTGAAATGTAACAAATCTTTGCCAAGAGATCAGTTTGGTCTTGAATAAGACAGTACAACATACTGGGAATGATGGAAAATAGACAAACCTAACAATATAAAAGCTCAGTAATTTATTTATTTGTATAAACAGGGATCTAACAGGGATTAATACTGTAAAAGCTACTGTTTTTCATATCAGAGTATCTAGAAAATATGTCAGTCTTAACCAAAGTCATAATCAGTAGCACAATAGGTGTGGAAAATAAATGTGAACCCTTAAACCAAATTGCAGGTATAGTTTATGTAGTTCAAAATAATACGACACTTTGTACAACAGATCAATAAAGATAAATCTTTCATCCTTTAATTTTATTATCATTTATTATAGTAACATTTGATGCTTCATTTTATTTTAGTATTATCCTGGGCTTTTCAGAAATTTCTAACAATGCATTGGAGAAATGAAGCTTTTAGAGCTCATTAAAACAGTGCTGAATCTAAATAGTATCACGCTTGGGAATATTAAAGCAACAACTATCGAAACTTATTGTATATATTAAAATCGAAACATTAAACCATGCAGGAACTTTTGATAAAGAATAACATTATGTACATACATATTTACAGTATATAGAACAAATACATCAATGGTTATAATGTGCTGTACTGTCTATATTATCAAATACAAATACTAGCTGGTGTGCTTTCATATTCTAGGTGATTGTGTTAAATCAGTTTGAACTACTGTGGAAGACAAATTACAAACCAAGTTCCAGTTTGTTAAATAATTAACATCAAAACAAAATTACATGTGCAGTATCAGTTTGATACATGTTATATATACTTGTTATAGAAATCCAACTACAACCAGCCTATTTCTGCATCTGAGCCCATTCCGGTTGTCATGATTAGACATCCTTATTATGCAATTATTGACATCATATTGAAGATTAATCTATTAGCTACGAGAAACAGAGAAACTCACTATAAAAACTTTTAAATTTATTGGTGGGACAGAGTGCTCATTTTTGACAACATAATACAAGTCATAATAAGTATACTTTGGTAGCAGTAAATAGTAGGGACAGTTTTGGCTGGCTAAGATTTAATTTATCTTTTGAGTACAGTTCCATAAATGGGAGAATTCTGATAGTCATTTATAACTATCCATAGACCTGAATACTCTCTATAAACCACAGCTGCAGAGAAAAGGGGCCTTTTTCATCCCACAGCCGTTGTTAATTTTTGTAATAAACAATATTATTAAAAGTTAGCATAATAAATAGTTCATTTATTTAATAGATCACATTTGCTCACTTTCCGTAGTGGACACTCCTATAATTAATGTAATTTATTGATGAGTAAGTGAAATACTTTCAGAAATTGATGCTGTTTTTATATATTTTTTTTAAAAAAATTATTTAGACTTCTATACTGCTTCATAGTGCTTTACAGCCCTCCCTAAGCGGTTTACAAAGTTAGCATATAGCATATTGCATATTAGCATATTGCATTAGCATATTGCCCCCAACAATCTGGGTCCTCATTTTACCCACCTCGGAAGGATGGAAGGCTGAGTCAATCTTGAGCCGGTGAGATTTGATCTGCTGATCTGCTGAACTAGCAGTCAGCTGAGGTAGCTGCAGTACTGCACCCTAATCACTGCGCCACCTCGGCTCTTGTTTTGAATGTACTTATAAAAGTTATAGTTAGTCATTTAAAATAATAGTTTCATTTTTCTTTATGTACATAGATTATTGGTACTGTGAATATATATAATCTCCACTTCTGGACAACTTTTTTTTTCTAGTTTCTAGAAATAGTAGTTATCAAAACCAAAGTAACAGTCTTTGTGGGTACTATATACATAATTAGATCCAGGCATCTTCACAATTCACATTTTTATTCTGTTCTGGTCCCCCAAAAATGGGCACAGGTAATAATGCATAAATAACCATCCTTCCCAATCCAAAGTGGGATTTAATTCATCTTAGGTCCATTTAGTGATATTAACAAAGTCTTTGGAATCTTACCATTGACTAGAAGTAATGTCCACTTCTATAGTCTAAAGTCTTTTGTTTGTTTGCTTGCACATGGCTAATGAAATTCAACCACTTCGATGGCAAAGAAAAACAAACAATTTCCTTCCAAATTAATGCTGATTGGAATGTGAAGAGTTGTAAATCCAATCCAAGAGAATTAGAGTCATGCTCCCAAACATAAAGATTATGCCAACAATGAGGAAAATCAGGGCCTGTAATTGGGAAGTATAGCAAAAACAATTAATTAGTAGGAAGAGCTACAACATAGCTCAATAATTGAAAAAATCTGGATGACTCACTCCAATCTTTTGAGGTGACCTCAAAGGCTCTTTCTTGACAATCCGAAGATAAAAAGCAGCAGGTAAAATAAAAATCAGCATTGTTGCAGCAGAGGCACCTACAATAGAAAACAGTCTTGCTGTTTGGGAAATGAAGTTAAGGGGCTTTAAAAAAAAAGAGGCTTATTACTGTTAATTTTTCTCCAAAGCACAGTAACATTGCAATATATACACTTTCATGGAAGTTATATGCCAATGTTTTCTCTCTGCAAAGGTAAGGGCTGAATCTAGCTAGGTGGCAACCAGCATTTATAAGCTAAAGTTGGCTATTATATAAACATGTCTGTCATCCAACACTATTAAGCAAATCATTAATTCTCCATTGATTCAAAAATCCAAGACTTTAAAGTTTGCAGCAGTGTTTTCAATCTCAGCAACTTTAGTGCTGGCTGATGAATTATGGGAGTGAAATCTACATATCTTAAAGTTGCTGAAGATAAATTATTGTATGCATGTCTCTTAATTCTTATCTATAATAAAAGTCTAATTTATCTGATCAATCTGAATGTTTCCTGCCTATTCTCAATTAGATGGTTCATTGTTTGGAGAGGTGAGATTTATAGCTTGCCAACTTCTGGGCTGTAGCCTGATAAGATGACTACTCCAATTTTGGAGGTTCTAACATTCCCAGCTTTGTAACAAACATTTGCATCCAACCTTCCTCTATTTCACTTAAATTAGATCCCTTGAATATTTCTTCTCACATGCTGGGTAAGAAACAACTGCTACAGCCCATGAGACCTAATACTAAATTTGAATTTTCAATGTTATAGTTGTTGTTCCAATCTGACTAAACCAAGCTAAAATTACTGTTTTTTGAACATACATTTTTAATACTACATTATCAGGTATCCAGTAAATTATATTGCCTGAAGTTAAAAATATACAATGAGAATCTTCTATTACAATACCTGACATTTCTATGAATGTACCTATGGGTCTATTTTTCTATAAGAAATATTTCTTACAATGGAGAAAATTCTAGAATTAGATATTTTCTTGTGAATTGCTATCTATTTGTTGAGAATTGTAGTTTGCTTTTCAACAAATATTTCCCAAAGTAGATTGTAGTGACAGGAAAATAACAATGCCTATAAATACCAAAGCCAAAACACAATGAGGAGTTAAAATACAAGAATGAACACTTTTAAACTTTACAAATGATATGCTAGAAAAGAAGAAAGGCTCTGATAATATATTTTAAAAAGTCAGTCTTCTGGTTTTATAATCTAGAACACATTAGAGTCTACATATTCCTCCCTCCTCCAAAATTATTCCAAACCTGATCAATTGTGGAAATAATTAAAAGTTTTCATCCTGAAATCTAAAAATCTAGACCCAATCTTATATGAAATTTTGTGTGGAGTCTTCTCTGGATTGGCATCTGAACAAGAGGAGGATGTTTCACTTTCTCTATGCAATAATAATTATATGAAAGGTTCCTAACTGTTATAAGGAATAGAAGCATGGGTGACCATAAGGGTGGTTGGGAAAAAATCAAGGTGGCTACCTTTACTTTACAATTGAAGAATGTTCCTTTCTAGGTGTTGTACTGTTGCATTGTGATGCATGAACAAATGGGTGGCACTTTGGTCAAATAGTTGTGGCTGTCATTTTAACATTTTTGACTCCCAACTTACAAGTACATGAAGATGGAAAGATGGAATCTCCTCTACCTTTCTGCATTAAAAATAGCTTTCTGAGCTTGGTTGTTTTGCACTGATGATGTTATCTAGTTTGGTATTGAAATGTCTGCAAGAAAACAACCAAGCTCCACCAGCACCAACCCCAAGCTACCAGCATTCCCTTCTATTGAAAAAAGCAACTTCTCAGAGTCCACAATAATTTGGCAGGGATTCTAGATCCAGGTTAGAGAAAGGAGTTTTGCCAAAAATGAACATGTTGCTATGTTAATATTCTTTATTTAAAACAATGAGAGCAAGAGGAAGCATTCATACCTATGAATCCAAAGATGTCCTTAATAGTAGGGACAAAAATGACTAAAAGATTATTAAATATAAGAATAACAATAGCAATGAGGAAGTGTCTTATCCAACTGAAAGGTCTTCTGGGGAACAAGAGTGTGGTAAGAGATGTACGAATCTATAAAAAAAAAAACAGTATATTTTAGTTTTATTATGCCCTTTAAACATTTTGTAGCAAGAAATGTTTTACCTTTGCCCCTTTTTACATCTTTGTAAATATGCCCTTTTTATCCCGAGGTTTTATAAATAAAAAAATGTACTTCAATGCAGAATATCTAATGTTAAAAATAATATGAAGATATCAAAAATAAGTTCTACTTATTAGTTCTACTTATTAAAAAAGATACTGATGAAATCTGACTTGGATAAGGATGTTAGCATAGTTACCAGTGAAATCCATAAAGGAAATCTGTTATTCATAAGCATCTCAGTATATTCACTTTATAGTTGCAGCAATCAAATTTATAGAATTTCTTCTTTTACTAAAGCAAGGACTTTTGCTTCTTCTATATGTCTATTAAATATAATTTCACTCTATCATTCCATCTGCAAGAGACATCTGGAAAAATAAATGTGGATATATGATTCTGTTTAGCCTGCTCAGCATTTCTATAGCTGCTATGTAGATGCAGGGATAAGTACTAGGTAAAAGGTTAATAGCAGCTCCAGTGGTCAACATTACAGAGAAGTCGCTTGACTTGTTAAAAGGGGGGGGGGGAAGTCTTAAGTGCAGATGCCAAACATGAAAAAATAGTATCAGCCTGGAGTTTATAAAAACAATCAGTAGCTATTTTCTCACTGATTTTAGTAACATGGAGACTGTTCCTTTAGGTTATAAATTTTTCCACAAGCATTTCTTCTATAAACAGTATTTAAGACTCAAGGCTGATCTTAGTTTAGTCAAAATAGTAGCACCCATAGATAATAACAAAATATATTTCCCTAAACAGGATTTTAGGGGAAAAACACAACAATGGAAGTATTTCCCCATGTAAGAGAAGATAATGTGCTTATGGTCACATAATGCTTAGTATATGTTCATTTTTCAGAATGGGGTATCTTGGAAGAGGCCATAGCTAGCTACCACATTAAACTGGAACTATGAGTCTTGAGTTCTCTGGTGATTGGAGCAATTTCTTTAATAGATCAAGATCATTAATTCAATTCCTGAAGTATTTTTTAAAATCTGAAATAGCCCCCTTAAGTGCTTAAATTTACCTTTCTAGATTTTTGTCTGTAATATTCTGTAAGATTTTTAATGTCATGTCACATTGTCATTAATTTTTTTTAAAAAAAACAGACCTGTTTTACACTTGAATTTCTTGAAGTGGATTACAAGGGGGTGGGGAAGAGCACAATCATGGATGGGCTGCTTAAAGTTTGCTTAAAATGACTTACTGGGAATAGGACTATTGGTACAGTGAGAGTCACAGCCACAAGAACTGCAAGACGAACCATCAAGAGCAGAGTGTCAAAGGTGTAAACCTTCCTATATGTATGAAGCAACTCATCTTCTACTTCACCTAATAAAAAAGAACATTCTCTATTAGTTTTCTCAAGCAATTTCATCATTATGTGGTGTACCTTCACATTGAACAGTTTGGAATTAGCAAACAGCAAAAATCCCAACATGGAGACTAATTTGCAATATGTTCATCATTAGGGCAGTTGGGCAGAATTCAGTTATCTGTTTCCTGTTTTAGGGATTAATTATGGTAAAAGACAATCAAACAACAATCAAACTATGGTAGAAGACAATCAAACAATACCTTGATCTTAGCATATGAAGTTGATATCTTAAATTGCTCAGGTAAAATAATATTCCTTACTGTGCACAATTATTTTATCGATAGCAAAGTAAAACTGATTTTTTAAAAAAACAACAACAACAACCCACTGAAGGGAAATAGCTATTACAAGGATTATTAAGAATCTGTTTCCTTGCAAACAGATTCTGAATAATATGAAACCTGAACAGATATGTTGAACATTTCAGATCATCTTAAACTCACCATAGAAAGTAAGATAGCCAAAAAGGGCAGCGAGGAGGTACATGATGAGCATTCCCATGATGGAGACATTGGAAACATTTTGCATCCGTTTTCGAGATCGGCTGAGAAGAATACAGCAATGGACAGTTAATTACTAGTAGGTTTATTTATTCATGTAGCTTTAGGTGTATATGAGAAAGATTGCGAGGGAGAGAAAGAGACTGATGATTACCTTGTGGCTCTTTCAGCTCTATTAAAGGAGAATATTTGTAGCTCAGGATTGAAATGAGGAGTCCTTGGTGCTCTCTGAACTTGGTTGTTTTTCTGCAGACATTTCATTACCCAAACTAGATAACATCATAAGTGCTACACCTAGTAGTAGCATTGATGAAGTTACCTAGTTTGGATAATGAAACGTCTGCAAGAAAACAACCAAGCTCAGAGAATACCAAGAACCCCTCTTTCAGCTTTCATGTATTCAGTACAGCAAAGTGGCTTCATTTGCTTATTAAATCTATACCAGACTTATATCATGTTTAAAGGAACTTTAGGAACTATAATGTCAAGTGGGAATGAATTCTTAAGTTTTCACAACTTTAAATTTTCCTACATCACCATGTTTTGCTCTCTTCCTGAGTCATTTACTGTATATCACTTCATTTATTCATTTTATTTAAAAATAAATACCTGGAGTTTATACTTGTTCTTTTTAAGGAGGCTCGAGAGAACTCTGGTTAATGGATGATTAGAAATATTAATATTGTAATAGTATAATAATTGAAATCTATTTTTCTGTTGAGATTAAGAATAAAATGGTGCAATTCTTCAAGTTATTTTATACACAGAAAGCATAAGGATTATCAGTTAACTCTTACTTCATTGCTGGCAATGGAATAATATCCTATGCCACAACTGAGAAAATAGTTTTACTTAGGAAGCCCAGCTGAAAAAGGAGATAAATGTAGGTTTGTCCTCCAGTAGGAAGAAATAACTGACAAATTTGGCTGAAATGATTGAGGGTGGGATTACTGTATGTTATTGTCATTCAAGATCTGTTGTTTCATGGTCACACTAGCTTTGAGTACTTCCAAAAACAGAAGTGTTAGCAGTGTCCCAAAGAAAGCTTATCTTCCCCTGATGTTATAGAGGCAATCCATGGTTAAGAAAAATATTTTCTTAACCATGCAATATTTTCATGACCCACTGAAAATAGGATGTATATAAAAATGTGCAGCTTCAGCGATTTTAATGAAAACATTCCACAGCTTCAGTGGTTTGTCAACATGAGAAAGAAGAAGGCTGTCTGCCATTTTTAGTAATACGCAGCCTATTCATCAATACAAATTGTCTGCAAGTTTGATCTTAACCCACAGACTGCCTGTACACTAATCAAACAGTAAGTTACTATTACAGTACAAAATGTATTGAGCAAAACCTAAAATATATTGGATACGACATTAAGAATGTGAACAAGGGTATTTTTGGGGAGGTTCAAAAAAGTCAAAATGGAGAAACCGGAAGTGTCATGATGATACTGGTTGGGAAATAGCGAAGCTCCATCAAGCTTCGTGAAAACCCAAACTGACAAACCGCTGTTGGGGAGGTCTTCGGACTGCATCAGTCTTGTAGGGACGGGGGAGAGAGAGAGGCGCCTTGGAAGAGCAGGCAAGTTCCTCAAAAGGTCGGAGGCAGTTCTTTGACCCGGCAGTGGGGGCGGCGGCCATTGAAATGGCTGCTACAAGCTGGGGCAACCGGACTAAGAATTGAGCAGGAGCAGTGATGAAATTGTTACCAAGTGAGTGATTGGCCAACTCACAGATAAGAAGAAAAAATTTTTAAACCTTAAAAGAGGTCCCAACCCAAAATAAACGGCTAATTGTCATTTGGGAATTTAAAGTGAAGGAAAAAAAATAAAGAGGAACTTTAAAAACAAAAGCCCTAAAAGGAGAACTAACCACCTGTATTTAGAATTGGACTTGGAAGAAATTAAGAATAATATAAAGAAAAGGAAATTGAGAGAAAGCATTTTTTAACAACAAAAGGAATTAATTGAAGAACAGGAAGTACTACTTATGTGGATTTACAATTGATACTTTTGCCTGGGGATTTGTGGATTGGAGAGAGACATCTGCTGGTGGGAAAGAAGTATTGTAATAAATCATCAAATCATTGTGAGAAGCCTTTTAAGGAGTCTTTATTTAAACAGCTGGAGCAAGATTAAAAAAAGAAGTTGACAGAATAAAATCTCAAACTGGAATGGCTCAAATGAGTATTTGAATTGGACACTACTTGGAAAGAAAAAAGAAAAAAGACATCAAATGGACTTGAATTTAAACTATATATAGCTAAAATAATAATAAATTTAAAAATTATTTCTTCTTAAATTGACAATATGAAGAATTGGGAATATGAGTATGAGTGGCTGAGGGAGATGTTGCAAAAGGTGCGAGAAGCATTTAAGGGAAATAAAGAAGCGGAGGATTGGATAGAATATAAAAAGAGAGACAGAAAAGATAAGTGAGAAGCAAGAATATAATGTTGGAAAGAAAATAATTGAAGGAAAAATATAGATGATTACATTGAGATCAACAGTGATAAAATAAAAATAGATAGGGGGGAATATCTCTCAAAAAAGAAGAAAAGAGAAGAAAATGGGAAAAGAGTGAGGGGGAGAATTAAAAGGGTAATAAACTAGAGAAAGGATGCAGGAAAGAAGATACAATAAATACAAAAAGAAGAAGAAGAAGAATAAAGAAATAAGAGAATGGGAGAAAGGGAGGAAAATATTAAGAAGTGGAATTCTGGAGAGTTTAAAAGAAAATGGTTAAAGGGGAAGAAAAAAGGTAGTAGAAAGGGAATTAAAGCATTAACATGTTGACTTAAGGGAATGGTATTAGTAGTAGAAATTGTATGTAAGAAACAAATTGGAATAAATATATAGATTATTGTAAAAGGGAATACTCAATTGAAATTAAGACATAAAATTGAAATGTTAGTAAATGATGTAAGTAAAGATGAAATGAAATGTATAAGGAGTTAAAAAAAAGAAATATATTTTATAATGTAAAACAGATCGGTAGATGCAATGTGAAAGATAGAAAGGTTTATATTTTGTTGTCTGGTGATTTATGGATTGGAGAGAAACACCTGCTGAGGGTAAAGAAATGTGTGCCAAAGATTGAAAAAAAACAAAGGAATTAATTTAAATTAAGAAATAAAATTGAAATGTTAGTAAATGATGTAAGTAAAGATGAAATGAAATATAAGTAAGGATTTTTTAAAAAGGAGTATATTGTTTAATGTAAAATAGACCAGCAGATACAGAATGGTTTATAAGTAAAAATAACTGAAAGTAATTGAAATAATAGGAAAAGAGAAAAATAATTATTGAAGTGGGAATAAGAAATTAGGAATTAAAGAAAATAAGAGATAGAAGGTTAATTAAGTTAAAAGGTTTTAAGGTAAAAATGGAATAAGTTGAAATACATTGTTAAGAATTAAAAAACATGATGGAAATCTTGAGGAATATATTCAATAAATGGAGAGAAAATTGGGGATGCCTGGACACCATAGAAAAAAAAACACTGAATTGAAAATGAATACAGCAATAGAGAGAGCTGGAAGAAGGAGTAGGAAGAGTAAAGGAAGGGAGAAGGAGAGAGAGAAATAGAAGAAAGGGAAGAGGAGAGGAAGGAAGGAAGGAAGGAAGGGGAAATAAGAGTAGGAGAGAAGGTTAGATGGGGGGAAGAAAGGAGGAGGGGAGAAAGGAAGGGGAAGTAGAGAAGGAGTAGGAGAGGAGGAAAGAAGAAAGTAGGAAGGATAAAAGAAGGGAGGGAGAGGAAGAGAAAGAGAAGAAAGTTTGCTGTAAAACGAAAAAGATGAAATGGAAGAAAGGCATCCCCAAACATGTTTAAATATATTAGGATAAAGAATAAATTATTAAAAATTAAAAGAGAATATATATGATTAAAAATGGAGAAAATTGAATTTGAGGGCGAAAGAAGATACTGTTTATAGAAATAAGAATAGAAATATTAAGATTTGATTAAAAATATGGAAAAAGAACACTGGCAGAAATTGTAACTAAGTAAAATATATTTGGATATGACAAGTTGTATATGATATGATATGATATGATATGATATGATATGATATGATATGATACGATATGATCAATACTCTGTTTCATAAAATATGTAGGTGTGTGTGAGGGGGGGGGAAAAACTAATAAAACTTGATTTTTTAAAAAAAGTCAAAATGATAGCTGTGACCACAGTACTAATTCCCTGTCCATTTTAAAATGTATATTGCATTCTCAGATGTCCCAATGTGAAATGAAAACATAAAGAAATGAGAAATTAACAATAAACCAAAGAAAAGTGAAACAGAAATAATAAATAGTAATGTTTTGCTATGGAAAAAATTCAGTCTTTATAAAATAAAAAAGTCAGAGGAAATCTGTGAATAGTCTTACTTTTTAAGTTCACTGTATATAGGTAATACTTCCGGATGGCATACAAATGCAAATGCCAGAATTGGTATTGTATAGGCAGTCTGAAAAAAACAAACAAACAAGGATTTCAGCTCTGATTAATGCTGGGCTTGCTTTTTCCTGGGCAACCTGAATTCAATTTCCTGAACACTGTAAGGGGTTGCTATGATACAATTAATATTGTTAAAGCTCTAAGCAAGGCAGAAGCCCAGATGAACAGAGTTAGACCAAGAAGGTACTAAGAGATAGCTAGAAATCTATTTTGGAAGCAAGTGACTCAAACATATCTTATGTTAAATTTGGAAAGTAGGTGAATGAGGACAATATTGGTTATGGGCAGGGGTGAAATCCAGCAGGTTCTGACAGGTTCTGGAGAACCGGTAGCGGAATTTTTGAGCAGTTCGGAGAACCAGCAAATATCACCTCTGGCTGACCCCAGAGTGGGGTGGGAATGGAGGTTTTGCAGTATCTTTCCCCCAGGAGTGGGGAGGGAATGGAGATTTTGCAGTATCCTTCCCCTGGAGTGGGGTGGGAATGGAGATTTTGCAGTATCCTTCCCCTGCCATGTCCACCAAGCCACGCCCACCAAGCCACACCATGCCCACCAAGCCACGCCCACAGAACCGGTAGTAAAATAATCTGGATTTCACCACTGGTTATGGAACTATTGCTTCTACTGTATATACTTCTAACCATGATGCAACAAGATATGGTCACTATTCAGGTTGCAGCAGTGACCAATATAGTTTACATATTTAAAATTTCCAGAACGCACTCTTTAATGGAGTAGATCAATATTTATAGAGGTTATTTTCTGTTGGATACATGATAACAGGTTCTTACCCGTGAGTTAAACACAAAATACTTGGCTTGGCATTTGTCATTGTCTTCTCCATGGGCTTCATATTCTACTCCACTTTGATGTAGCTTAGTTTTGGTTTCTTCAAAAACTGAAGAATATTGTTTGTTAGTGCTGTCCATCATCAAATTTAATTCCAAATTAGCAGAATCATTTGGTAACACCACTACATGTAGCGGAACTGCAGTATCATTGTAGGACCAGTTGCCAACATTATTGTCCAAGACTGGGAGAGGACAGGCTATTTGGGATTTCTTGTAGATTACCTAAATTATTATAAATATAAACAAGAAAATACATGTATTCATTTATCACAGAAAGCACTGGATTTCATTATAAAGCATTGCAACTATCATATTCTCAGAAGTTACATTTCAATGTTGCATTGCCAGAAAAGTAAAACAAGTACATTTGCATATACTGTAGCATGGTACCAGAATTTGATTTGTGCTATTATGTGACTAGAATATCATACCACTAATATCCAATGAACAGGTTTTGAATAATGCAGTAATTGATTATTTACCAGAAATGATCTCTATTTTTAAAGTTTACATAGTATATCTTTTAATTTTTAATTTAATTTAATGCAATTTACAATTGCAGAGATACTTCCATTTTGAGAAACAATGCAATAAAGAAAAATCAGCCTGGATATCAGTAACTAAGACAAAAATAATACTTTGCATATATAGTTTTCCCTGAACTTATTTGGTTTATTGTTGATAAAAACAGAAATATCTATAACATATTAAAATTTGCAACCTAATCAAGATTGAGTTATTATGCTGTGTTACTTCTCAAGCTATTAATAGTACTGCTGCTACATAATATTCCAGGATTAGATGGTAATTGAGAGATCATGACCACATCTTCACCTCCCAATATTCTCAGAAGATTATAAAAGATAATTTTGGCATTAGAGGAGGAGACAGGGCTAAATTTGGGGTGCTTTAATATTTGGGGACAGAAAAGATATCAATTGGATTGGGAAAACCAATGCTTCAATTATCACACTGTTGATTTTCAGTACCAAATAGCCACATTTCAGTGTGATATTGGATCATGTTTTGTGTTTGGAGAGGTTAAGAATGGTAATGAAAAGGTTTGCTTCCAAAAAGATTTCCTACCCTTAATTTTGCAAAAGAAAAAGAAAAAGAACTGCACAGGTGACAGTTCCTCAAAGAATTCTAGCTAATTTTGCTAAATGTAGAATTGGAAAACAAATTAACCAGTGTAATATAGTTTACACCACTACTTAGTCTCTATTTATAGTGCCATGGTTCATTTCACAATAGCTCTAGTTTATCTGGTGACAAATGGAGAAAATTTCACAAAAAAGATGGAACCACTGATGTGCCCATCAACTCCTTATTGCCATTTTAATGCATGCACAAATAATTTACAACAGAGCATTCAAAGTAGTGTCTAGAATAGAATAGAATAGAATAGAATAGAATAGAATAGAATAGAATAGAATTCTTTATTGGCCAAGTGTGATTGGACACACAAGGAATTTGTCTTCGGTGCATAAGCCCTCAGTGTACATAAAAGCTATAAGTGATAAATCATGATCATAGTCATCATAAAAATACATTTATCATAAATCATAAGTTAAATGCTTAGTGATAATCATAGGATACTAAATAAGCAAGCAACATAAATCATACTAGGAAACTAAATAAAATAATATAAGTCGTAAAGATACAAGCAACAAAGTTATAGTTGTAAGTAGAAAAGGAGATAGGTAATAGGAAAGATTAGAAAAATAATAGTAATGCAGCCTTACTAAATAGTTTGACAATGTTGTGGGAATTAGATGTCTGGAACTTCTATTTCCAACATCTTCTGGAGATCAATTAGAGAATACTGATGTAAAGATTGTGCACATTTTCTCTACATTTGGTATAAACACTTACCACACTGACAAAGAATACCATACAAGTAAGCGAAAATCCACTTGTATAACCAAGATAACCTTTAAAAATAATAAGTAAATGTATAGTTATTTGAAAAATAAAATGATAGTACAATCTTTACTATTAGTTAAAGATAAACTATATATTTGAATAAGTAATTCCTTACCTAAATTTTTTAGTAGTGAAAGGGGGAGAATAATTCCAATGCTCACAAATATTACAAGATAGTTGCCATTCAGATACCATTCTCTAGTTTAAGGAAATAAAATATGAATTAATTCTCATAAATAGATGGTTTTTAATAAATATATAAAAGTAAACATAAGGAAATACATACCCAGAATTATCTTCGAGTCCTAAAAATGCTCGGATTACTTCTGGCAGTTCATACTTAATAATAAAGAGGTAGCTTGACATTGCTGCGAATGACAAACATGTTATCTTAGTTGAATAGGATGCTTGAAAAGGGACATATAAAAGATTCAGTTAATTAAAATTTCAGTCAAATAGAAATGTTATTCATAGTGAATTTCACATTGGGGAGGACGAACAATGCTAAGACATGTGCAACAATGTTGGGTGTTTACATACTTGTAAAGACATTGGGAAACAAGTGTACTGTATATTGTGACATTTGTGTGATGTTGTTGCCGCCACTGAAAAGTACCTATATAGGACAGGGATCCTAAACAAATAGGATCAAAATGGTCATATTTTTAAAAAAATGATCTCTAAAGGCATTTAAAAGCACATGCAAACGTTAGCAATTGCTTGTCATACATTAACACTTTTCTATAATCACACAATCCATATGACATGCTATAATTTGCTGGAAATCCAGAATGTCTTATAACAAATGCAGACAACATACAAATATAATAAATAGTCCAAATTACAAAACAATATTTTCAGTTAGAAAAATGCTACTTGGACAATGTAAATTATGCACCATTTTTACATTTCTAAATGTCATTTTTCAATTGTTCCGTATCAAGTGTTAAGCTACTCTAAAATTAGTTTTCAGCTGCTATTCAAATTATACAAGCAACTTGTATACCATTTTGGCAATACAATTAAGAAATGACTCTGCAGTGGGGGACGGTGGCCATTGTACCACCAATTAAGCTGGGTCAACTGGATCAAGCACTGTGCAGGAGCAGAGAAGTGAGCAGAACATCGATGCCGGGTGAGTGACAGCTAAATCGCAGGCAGAAGAGAGAGAAAGAGAGAGAGAAAAAAGAGGACTATTTTTAAAATAACTATAAAAGTCCTAGCGGTTTAACAGCGGCTAATAGGTGTGGAGAAAGGACGGAAGAAGAAGAGTAAAGCGGAAGCTACAAAGTCAAAAAAACAAAAAACAAAACCCCGATTAGAAAATTGTGTGCTGGATTCAAATATTTGGAGAACTTAAAAAAAAAATTAGAAGAATTGACAACTGGAAAGATTTTTCCTTAATTAGTGAACCTTAAAAGAAGTTTAAAGAGGGAAGAAAAGCCCGCAGAAAGGATTGGTTAAAGATTTTAAATTGAAATTGATTTGGAAAGTAAAGTTGGAATTTGGACTGTGTAAATTTGGTCCAAGTTTTTAAACTGATTTGGTGCATATAAAAATGAAAAGGAAGAAGAAGGAAAATTAAACAAGCAAAGACTGTTCAATGTGGATTGCAAATAAAATTGATACTTTTCTAGGTTGCTGATTGCAATTGTGGATTATAGAGAGCCATTTTCAGAAGGAAAAAAAAAGACCATTACAATGCTGAATTTCTGTTTTGGAAAAAAAAGAATAATAAACCTTGAACTTTGAAAGACACAGCTGTGAATTTTTAAGGAGGCTTGGTTTGTTTATAAGTGTGACTTTGATGATTAAAGAAGGAAGATTACAACACAATTTGAAAATGGAATAATATTAACTGAAAAAGTACAAAATGGAGGAATTTAAGGAAATGATGAAAACAATGTACTTATCATTAAAGATGGAAATAAGGGAAATGACTATAATATTGCATGGAAAATCGAAACCTGATGAACTAAAAGATTGATTGACAAGGAAATAATTAAGGAGAAGCAAGAAAAAGAGAGTGATAATAAAGAAGAAGACAAAGACAAAGAGATTGACTATGGAAAACTAAATGATTATGGGGCTAGTAATAAAAAAGAGAATTTCAGAGGTTACATTAAGATTAATAAGGGAAGAAACAGAAAAGGGGGAAAGAAGCAAAGAAAAAGAGGGCGGAATAGAAAGAATATACCAGGAGCCTGGTGGCGCAGCAGACTAAAGCACTAAAGCACTGTTATTAACATCAAGGCTATTGCTTAATGCATTGTAAGCCGCCCTGAGTCTCTGGAGAAGGGCAGCATATAAATCAAATTATATATATATAATTGCAAAAATATCGCACATTTATACCTATGAATCAAAAGAAATAAATAAATATATATATAAAATAATTACGCTGGGATTATCAGTGGGAAAATAAGAAAAGGAGAAAAGGGGTGGAAAATAAGGAGAAATGCAAACAGGGCAAAACAGAAGAGTTTATGACTTTAAAAGACAAAATGATTACACTGGGAAGACAATGGAAATTAACAGTAGAAAGATAAGAAAAAGGGAGGAGAGTTCAGGAATTTAAAGCACGAAAGAAAGGAAAGAGAAAGAAAAAAAATACAAAAATGGAAAGGGTGAATTGTGATATTAATTAAGCAATTTAACATATGTATGTATGATGAATGTAATAATTGGGATAGTTTTAAGTAATTAGGGAAATGGTAATAATTGGAATATTTTTAATTATATATTTGGAATTGAACTAAAAAAGAAAAGAAAGTTGAAATGATATGGGACAATGAACTAAGTAGAAAAAAATCATACTTATTTGGTTTCTATAAAGTTGTTGAATTGTACTATTGGGAATAGAGAGAATTTAAGGAAATGATTGGGAATTGCATTATGGTGTATTATTTGAATTAATATTTTTATTTAATTGATTTTCTATTGACTACTCTTAATTAATTAGGGAAACCATAACAAAAACCTGAAATAATTGTATTATTTGGAATATTAGATAAATAAATTGGAGATGATATTATGTTGTGTAAATGCAAATTTAAGGGTTCAAATTTTAGGGAAGAAAAAGGAAAATTGAATTATATTAGGAATAGAAGTTAAGAGGAAGGGCAAAAATGTATGGAAGTTTAAAAATTGCAATAAGATTTAGAAATATGAATAAGTTTAACATATAAGACTGTAATAGTTGTCATATTGGGGGTAAGATTTAGATTTAATTGGCTTTTATTAATATGTTGAATGATGTAGAAATGTGAAATAATTGTATTATTTGGTACATTTGATAAATAATTGGAGATGGTATGCTGTTTCAATGCAAATTAAGGGGATCAAATTTTAGGGAGGAAAAAGAAAAAAATAGAATTAAGTTAAGATGAAGGGTAACATTAGATTTTTTAAAATTAGAGAGAAATAGACGTTATGCTAAAAATTGAATGTATAAAATTGTATTAAAGATGAACAAAAATTTGTACAAATTTATGACCAGATCAATGTTCTGTTCAGAAAAGATGTATTCTATGTTTGTCTGTCTGTTTAAAAATAAAAAAAACTTTTCTTAAAACAATTAAGTAATTTATTTTTATTAAATCTAATTCAAGATTACAATGATATCAGCGGTGGACAACTGTTTCCAATTTTTATCATTAGACAAAACATTCTTATTTTAAACTTTCTCAACTGTCATTTCCAATTTACCTCCAATATTCTGCATTGTGAGAGAAACAAAAGCACCAATTTTTCCAGGCCATCCGAATGCCTTTTCACCTAGTTTTTCATATATTAGCGAGCCTAGGAACAACAAGAAATGGAACATTTTAGTACAAAGTATTTGATCCATTGGTTTTGATTTGACTCTTTATGACAGCTCACTGGTTAATTTAAAATAGGTACATACTTAATATTTTCCCACTAAAATTAGGAAAGGGTAAAACTTGACTAAAATGTTACTGTGCTACCATTCAATGCTGGCTCTGATTTAGGATTTAGGAAGACTTTGGGTAAAGTATCCTAAGGATGAAGTCCCATTTTGAAATGAAAGGACATAGAACCTGAACATTCTTTTGGCTGCATCTGATTCCCAAGATACAGTGGTTATCAACCTATGGTCTGTGGAAACTCCGGGGACTACAATGTAATCATAGGAGATTTTTATTTATTTATTTATTTATTATTGAATTTCTATACCGCCCTACTCCCGAAGGTCTCAGGGCAGTGCACAGCCATGAAATAAAACACATAGATATACAAAATTTAAAATCGAATAAAATGAATTAAATAAATTTGGCTGAATTAATACCCATAATTTAAAATACCCATATTTTAAAATCCATTAAAAATTTAGAATTTACACTCAAAAGGGAGAAGATTTAGGCGAGGCCAGCTTGATGAAATAAAAGCGTCTTCAACTCGCAGCGGAAGGTGCGCAGATCCGGAATCCTCCGTATCTCTGGGGGGAGCTCATTCCACATCGTCGGTGCCCCCACAGAGAAGGCTCTCCCCCTAGGGGCCGACAGCCGACATTGTTTGGCCGACGGCACCTGGAGGAGCCCCTCTCTGTGGGAGCGTACTGGTCGGTGGGAGGCTGTTGATGGTAGTAGGCGGTCCCGTAAGTAACCAGGTCCCAAGCCATGGAGCGCTTTAAAGGTGGTAACCAGAACCTTGAAGCGCACCCGGAAGACCACCGGGAGCCAGTGCAGCTCGCGCAGGAGAGGTGTTACATGGGAGCTCCATGTTGCTCCCATAACCACCCGCGCGGCCGCACTCTGCGCCAGTTGGAGCCTCCGGGTGCACCTCAAGGGGAGCCCCATGTAGAGAGCATTACAATAGTCCAGACGAGAGGTGACGAGGGCATGAGTGACTGTGCGTAACGAGTCCCGATCTAGAAAGGGACGCAACTGGCGAATCAGGCGAACCTGATGAAAAATCCTCCCGGTCACAGCCGTCAAGTGCTCTTCTAAAGACAGCCGTGAGTCCAGGAGGACGCCCAAGTTACGAGCCCTTTCCGTGGGGGCCAATGATTCGCCCCCAATAGCCAGCGATGGCGCCAGCTGACTATATCGGGACGTCGGAAACCACAGCCACTCGGTCTTGGATGGGTTGAGCCTGAGCCCGTTTCTCCCCATCCAGATCCGTACGGCCTCCAGGCACTGGGACATCACTTCAAGGGCATCGTTGGGGTGGTCCGGGGTGGAGATGTACAGCTGGGTGTCATCAGCGTACAGATGGTACTTCACCCCGAAACCACGGATGATCTCGCCCAGCGGCTTTACATAAATGTTGAACAGAAGGGGCGAGAGAACCGATCCCTGTGGCACCCCACATAAAAGGGGCCTCGGGGTCGATCTCTGCCCCCCTGTCAACACAGACTGCGACCGGTCAGAGAGAAAGGAGGAGAACCACCGTAAAACGGTGCCTCCCACCCCCAACCCTTCCAGCCGGTGCAGCATGATACCATGGTCGATGGTATCAAAAGCCGCTGAGAGGTCTAACAGGACCAGGACAGAGGAACAACCGCTGTCCCGAGCCCTCCAGAGATCATCAACCAACGCGACCAATGCCGTTTCCGTGCTGTACCCAGGCCTGAAGCCCGACTGGAACGGATCTAGATACGACGTTTCATCCAGGTACTGGGGTAGCTGTCGCGCAACCACACTCTCAACAACCTTCGCAACGAAGCAAAGGTTGGAGATCCATGAAGGCTTGAAGAAATGTTATGACTTAAATCTTGAGTTATGTCTTGTGGGTCTGTGGCACAAAAGGCATTTAAAGGGGGTCCATGGGGAAAGAAAGGTTGAGAATCATTGTCATGATACATTTAAGAAGTTTCTAGTAAATGTTCATTGTCAATTTCTGAAGCTAACAACACTACATTGTCATTTTGAGGATCTTCTTGGTAGAATGATAGCACTGATGATAATGTGTAGTAAAAATAATTATGGTTATTGAGTGTCAGAATGGGGAGCCTGATATTCAATGAGTTAGAATATACTTATTTAAAATGTTGCCCCCCCTCCCCATATTAAGTAAATCATACCTCCTTCTTTGGCTGTCTTCAGTAATAGATGTACTGAATAGAGTGACATTAGTGCTACACTGAAGAGTAAGATTCTGAAAGACATATGGAAATTGGAAATATAAATGAAAAAACAATTACGAATAAAGGCTTTCCAGTTCTAGTAAGCGAGTGAGTGAATATTTGGCCTGCCGAGTGGCCTCTTTATTCCCTCTCGCTCCCAAGGCAGCTGGGTAGCACCTGTCTCCTTGCGTGAGAAGCAACCAAAGAGCTTTCTCACCAGGAGCGTTGCCCTCATTCAGATTCCCCACCTCCCTCTGGTGGCCCTCGGCTGAGTGCGGCTGCCCCAGCAATCGACACCAGCTTTGGTGACACCACCACCACCACTTGCACCCAAAACCTTTCATCTTGAAATGTTTCTTGAAAGTCACCCCAAAGGGGTGAGGAAGGTAGGCTCCTTATCCTACATTCTCACTAGGGGTAGTCCTCAATTTATGGCCACAACTGAACCACAATTTCCATTGCTAAGCAAGCTTTAAGTGAGTTTTGCCCTGTTTTATGATTTTCCTTGCCACTGTTAAGTGATGTTCAGTAAATAGAGATTGTATCTTGTTGAGCGGAGAGGTGGGGCCAGCCATGGTGAATGATGTCAAGTTGGCCACGCCCACCCAGTCACATGACCACTTAGCCTTACCTACCCAGCAGAGAACCGGTTGTTAAATTATTTGAATCCCACTACTGAATATATAGTACTTAAGGGTTTAACATTTTAACATTTTTTAAAATCAAATTTGTGGATTTATTTTTTTTTAAATAAAAATCTCTTTACTTTTATCATTTTTAGACAACACTATAAGAAAAACCATCAGATTTGCTGATATGGACATAGTGGCTCTATATGGATATTTGTTCATACTCCTGCTTATACTTCCTGATTGTTAACTGATATTAAGTTGTAGTTGACTAGTGGAGGCATAATTGGGAATTCTTGTTTGGTTTAAGTCAAAATTTTTGTGCTAAATTTTTCACAGGCTGCTGATGGTGTGAGGGAGGAAGGGTTCGATGGGAAAACGTTTGTTCCAAAGCTTATCTATGCTCTTCTGATTATGATACTGAATTATTATCCAAACCAGGGGTGGGTTCTACTTACCTTTACTATTCGTTTGCAACGGGGCCACACGCTCGATTTGCTCTCTCGTGCGCGCGTATGCGCAGAAGCATTTTGATGATGCCGGGGTCAGTGGGCAGAGCCTCCCGTCGGTTTTACTACCGATTCTATAGAACCAGTGCGAACCGGGAGCAATCCACCACTGATCCAAACTAAGAACACTAACATAAATATCTTTATGACACATTTTTTCCTGGATAAAATTATCCTTTACTGTTACAAAATCATTGATAAACTACATCTATTTCCTTTTTTTTCCTTTCATGTCTAAACCCTGTCTCAATCTAGAATCCAGTCTAGATTGAGCATCAATTATTTTTAAATTTTTAATAAAGGATTAAAAACTTCACTATCCTGTTGCTGAACATTTGTTTCATCAATTTTTTAGTCTTAAATACTGAGAGTATTGAGAGTATATTTGTTGGTAGACCAGTCATCAAATCCAATTATTTCAATCATTTCCAAATTAAACATCATGATTGAAACAATTGTAATCATTTGCTGAATGGAACAGCTTTAAAAGTTGTCTCCTGCTTTGATAGATCTAACTATAGTTAAAACTTGCTCATAAACGTCTGCTGTTGTACGTCAAAGGATACACTGTATAGATAGTGTAGGTCAGCTGTATGTCACTACTGTCAGCATTGCTAGAACATTTGGCATAGTAAGATATTGGACAGAAATCTATATCTACATGTTACAGTTTCAGATTGAGGGTTATACAGTTCAAGCAAAATCTCCTGTGGCCCCATCATCGTGCAAGCTATCTAATTAATAGGATATCAATATCTGTTCTAAATTACTTACTTTTGGCTCCCTTTTTTCCATTTGAGAAAAACAGAGAGAGCTACCATTTATCAACAGATATAGATTGTTAAGTATATAAGGTATGTTTGGATTTGCCCCAAAAACTGAAATGATATTGGATTTTACTATTATGTGTGCTGTTTGCCACAGTACCAAATAAGTGAATTCTGCCACGTCCAGGTTTGTATACAGTAAATTACTATCTTATTGTTTCTCATATGTTAAGAGAATTCATAACAAGATTATATTAGGATTTATTTGGATTGCTTCTCCTGTTAACTTCTTTTGTACTCTGTATTTGTCCTGTGCACAAAATACACAGAGTTCTCATCAAATGAGAATGCTTCATGTTTGTATTGTCTCCCAATTCCTTTAAAAGTGGATTAGTAATACTTTAGTATTAACCAATTGAATAAGGGGCGAGTGCTTTTTCAAGAGGCAACTGGATGTTCTGCTTTTTCTTTGAAGACGTTTCTCTTCTCATCCTAGAAGCTTCTGCAGTTCTGAAGCTAAACATCTTCAAAGAAAAAGTAGAACGTCCAGTTGCCTCTTGAAAAAGCACCTTTGGGACAACCATGACCTGGATGACTGAGAATCTCCATAGAAATAGGGGGTGAGTCTTTTATCCTATGACTAGACTAACAATAAAATGTATTGATTAAAGAAATTTATGGCACAAAATCAGATACTTCTAATTTTCCTCACCATTTTTTAAAAAACCATAGCTTACTACTTACATAAAAAGGACAATTCCGGTGTTGGCCATGGCATAGGATAGCCCTAAAATACCACTGCCCATGATGGCATTGCTTAAATTAAATGCCGAAATACCAAATGAAATATTTCCTGGATGCTGTTGAGGAAAAAAAACAACAATGAGGATGTATTAATTGTACCACTTCACCACAGACAGGCCTACAACATAACTGTTGCTAATAAACTTACATATTCATCTGTATAACTTTCCATTTTCTTTTTACCCAGGAAGCCATTAGCAAGAAACTTCTGGCTTTCTGCATCATCACCAACAAAGTGGCTGAAAGGTGAGAAAAAGCAAAGTCTTTATAATTAAAATAAAATAAAATGAAATAATTTTACATTGTTCTGACCAACTTTAAATAACATAAAATAACATGGGAACATGACAGAAATAAAATAAACAGCCAGCACAGATGTAATTTTCTTAGTGCCAGATAAACCATTTTGACTACTGAGGCTGTTAATCTTAAAATTTAGTAAAGAGGACAATATAAATTGTAACAGGAAACAGATTAACTGTTGGGAAAAGGAGGCAATACATGTAGTTCTCAACCTATGATCACAATTGGGAACAATTTTTTATTGCTAAAACTAAACTTAACCTAAAGTTTAGGTTTAAACCTAAACAAGGTGATTGTTAAGTAAATCATGCCAGTAGGTAAAGTAAAGATTTTACAACCTTTTTGCCACAGTTGTTAAGTGAATCTCACAGCTACTAAGCAGATCTGGCTTTACAGGAGAAGAGCAGGTAGAGGTGAGGAGGTGGAATTAAATGTGTCATCAGTTTATAGTCTTTAAATTGCCACCAATGATCCAAGTCCAACTCCCCTTGAATTCCTTTAACCCTTATTTAGTGCCAATTTAGTGTTGACTGTTAATTGACCAGATTCTTGTGTGAAAGCTTAACTAAATCTTCTGTGCTGCAATTTGATGTATAATCCTGATCCTTTGTGCCTGACATTGTTTACCCATTGAGTGTTTTTTGGAAGTTGGCTGGGAAGGTTGAAAATAGTGATTACATGACTTTGGGATGCTGAGCCATTCTAAATACATGCCAGTTGCCAAATGCCCAAATTTTGATGACCTGAGTATGAGGATGCTGCAACAGTCATAAGTGTGAGGATTGGTCACAAATCCCTTTTTTTCAGTGCAGATTAACTTTAAACAGTCGCTAAATGAATGGTTCTAAGTCAAGGACTACCTGTATTACACAGTTCCAGCAGTAAAGCTTAATAGTTTTAAGCTTAATAGTTTAAAATCAAATGTATTGTCCAAATCATTAAACAGGTTTCAAGGAAAGACAGTCATTTGAAAATGAGCACTAGTTCCTGTCACTTCAAATATTAACTTTTATGTGTGTTCAGTTTGAGAGTAATAATGAGAATCCTCAGAGAAAACATTAATAATAAATTAACAAAGTGTTGGACAAAACACTAAGAATAAGTGTTAAACTGTGCAGGCAAATTTGCAGATTTCTTTTTATATATAGGTGGGAAAAATCCCTTTCCAGAAATACAGGTGTTGCCTTTTACAGGAAAAGCAGAAACAGACATTTTCATTTTCAGCAATATCAATTATTTAATCATTTGACTTCCTCCAATGAAATTCTAGTACTTTTCTAACATGTTTTGGTCTTGTACTTTCTGCAACTACATTGCTTTCTACCTGCTAATAGTAGCCTTCTCTGGATCAACCATATCTGCATCATTGTCTTCAGTGCTGTCTCCACTGTTGCTCTCTTCATCAAGTTCTGTGTTGACTTTCTGCAATTCCAGGCGATCCATCTGAGCAGTCAGTGATTTCCAGTAACACACACAAACATACACATACACGGAGGCAACTTCAGTGTCAACAAAACTGGGCCTTCGGTTTAAAGGTTCTGCATCCACAAGATGTTGATTCTTGGAACACTAAGTTCTATAACAGAATACAAAAAAACCACCAATCTCAAATCAGAGAAATGGAAAGGGATGTAATAATATTTTAATATAGAAACATGTATATGAATTAAAATGTTATCCACAGTTTCTTCTCAAAATGAGATGTACAGCCTACATATGTCTAATCTGGATCCAAGCCCACTTGAATTAAAAATTGACAATTGTATTTATGACATTTAAATACAGCGTTGAATAGTATTATTGCCCATAACACAAATCTTGTGAAAATAAAATACAAGATCAAGGGGAGTTTAAGAGATGCCACATGCAACATTAATTCACATCCTTTATTTTACAGTTTCCCTTTCTCCAAAATTTATATTTGAATGCCTATCAAACTTCAGGAAGAAGCCTTGCTAATATTCTAATTCTCTCTCTGTATTAATATTCTGGAAGTTATTTTAAAAAATCAAAGGGAAACATTATTTTAGTAGGTGCTATGAATAAATGGGTGGGAACAAATTGAAAGAATACAGAAAAAAAATGTTTTAGTCATTTAGAGATTCAATAATGAGTGTAATGAAAGTTTAATGAGTGTAAGCATAATAAATCATGTGCACACATGTGCATCCATATTGAAAGATTGTATAAATATCAAAAAGTATTATTAATTTGATCTTTTATGATACAAAACTCTGTAAATTAGTGAAGGACTGAAAGAAGAGTAAAAGTTCTAAATGTAAGATGGATCTATTTTGTCTACGTATCTGAAAGAAAATCAAATGACTATAGGAATAAAAAGTACACATCCTATGTGAAAAGTTATATTCATCTCTCAATAGAATAAAAATTGGATGAAGAGAAAAGCAGTGATTGTCATAGAAATAAAATCTGTTTTAAAAATGGCTACATAGGACTAAACAAGGAGTCTCCAATGGAACCAGTTAAATTAAAAATAAAAGCAGAGAAATGATTTGGTAAAAAAATGAAATGAAATTATTGTTTGAAGGAATATTTTATTAATCTGTATGATAGCAATATTGATAAGTCAAAGAATAAATTTGAAACAAATGTGATAAATGTTATAGAATTAATGAAGAACTCCCTTGCAGTAAGATGAGCAGCATATAAATTTAATAAATAAATAAAATACATAAATAAAGATGCTATAAAAGATATAAGTATTATGAGAATGTTGAAGAATGGCTACTTGTGTAGAAGATGTAACTGAAGAAATCTTAACACATGAACATGAACATGACTATTGTGGCTGTGTGTTGTCTTTAACAAATAAGTAGAGATTATATCAGTGCTCACCAAGTAGAACAATGCTATTATGATTTGTTTATACTATAAAAAGGGAAAATTGGAGAAGTGAATGCTCAGGAAATGTGTAGTTCAGATTTATGCTCTTCAGCAAGTCATTGAGTAAAGTATGAATGTGAGAAAGAAAATGTGTGGAACACTTGTTGATTTTGAGACAGTGTATGATAAAACAATTGTGGAATGTTCTCTGTGAATATGGATATTGAACACAAGTATAGCATGCATGAGTGTAAGCATGGAATGTTTAATGAATGATTCAGCAGTGAAAAAAGAGTAAGACAAAAATGTGTAAATCTTTAATGTATAAGGAATCCTTGGGATGATGTTAGAAGTATGAAATTATTGACTGAGAACCCAAATGTGTTCCAGAAAAAATAGATTCCATGATGAAACAAAGATATTGAAAATTAATGTATTAAAACATGGTTGTATTTGATAGAAAAATGGAATGAACAGTTGCAAATTATGCTGTCAACTTTGAACTGGACCTGGCTGCAGTCATCTTTCTATTCTTCAGTTGCCACACAGAGGGGGAAGGAGGTTGGAATGCATTACTAGACACAACAAAGAACTTTCTCCTGAGAACTAAGGTTGTCTCTACTGGCAACAGATAAGGTTGGGGAAGGAGTGCCTGAAGACCCTGCCAATTAACCCAATTGGCCAATGTGATCTGTGACACTTGGGGATGGGGTTATTTCCTAGTTTAATTATACTGAAACTGCAGGAAAGATTTAGATTTGGTTTTCCATTGAAGCTGTGCTGATAAGATGTTCTCATTAAAGAAAACCTTTAAGAAAGAGCCAAGTCTCAGAGTTCTGATCTGCTTGGGTTCATTAGTCAGAGCCTTGACATTAAACCAAATTTCATAAACCTACCTGGGGTCCTGAGCCCCAACTGCCCTCCTGTCAACACCGGAGGGGTGCAAAAGAATCAGGAAAGATTGGAGAGGGAGAAAATGGGGGAAGCAACCACTAACCCTAGTGCTGCCCCGGCTGGGATCATGCTGTAGTCAAGTCGCTCCGGTGAGGTGGCCCTCCCACTGATGGCCAGGCTGAAGGTTCATGTGGAAAAGACTGAGAAGCCAGTGACTCAGGAGGAAGCCCTAGCCACCAAGGACCTTTACCAAGCGGAGGTGGGTGCTGGGTGCAAGTGGATGCCAAAGGCCACTGAAGTGAAATTTCCCGAGGTCCCCTTGGTTGCTGGCTGCTCTAGTCCTGAGATGGAAAGCGAAAACAAACTCTGAGTGGGATGAGCACAGGGAATGAGAGTACCTGACCACCCTTCACAGCCCATAGGTAGAGCAGTTGAGGGAGACATTCGACTGCATGGAGATACAAGAAGTGGAGCTGATGCATCAAGCCACTGCTGACCTGCCAGGGACAGAGCTCAACCTCAATGGCACGAGCAGCCAGCCTGCTTCCCCAATCAGCCAGGGCAGTGAGTCCAAGCTGAGCACTCCAAGGCAGCAGCCAACAGCAGGTTTGGTGGGGCAACCTCAGCCTCCTCCTGGATGGCACAGGTACCCACTGTGGCCTTACTATCCATGGCCTGGTTAGTTCCCTGGTCTGTGGGCACTCCCTCCTCCTCCATCAGTGGCAGACCTGCCACCCAGGAAGGCCACAGAGACTCAGAGAAATTGGCGTTCTTCCTCAGCCAGGTGTGGACCCACCTGGCCTGCTATGGCCCAGCCTACCCATCAGACATGGCAATGGTAAGTGCTGTGACCATGAACCTGGAGGGGGAAGCCGCAGAGTGGATGATGATGAAGATGAGCCAGAGTTGGGGAATGTCAGAGCATTCATGGGGGAACTGATAGCCAGATTCGAGGATGAGTCCCAAGCCTTGCAAGTGGAAGCCAAAATCCGAGACCTAAAGCAGAGGGGCCAAATGGTGAAGGAGTATGTATGGGAGTTCCACAGAGTGGTCAGCAAACTGAGAGACTGGCCAGACCAACTGTTGGCCTACTACTTTAAGGAGGGCCTGGACTGAAAACTACTACAGGCTTGTGTTTACTCAGGGGTCCCCAAGTGAATCCATGACTGGTATCGGATGGCCATAGTGATGGACTTCGAACTCAAGCAGTGCAAGAAGCACAGCGCACCCGAATTGCAGCCCAAGTAGATGCAAGAGGGTTGCTGATTTGGACACTGACCTGTCACCATGCCGCCCACTGACCCCCTCTTGTTCCAGCCCGAGCCCCCATCAAGTGCTTCAGATGTGGCCAGGAAAGTCATTGAACCACTGAGTGCCTGGCACCAACACCCCAGATGAAAGTTTAATTTAATTTAATTAATTCAATTTATATGCCACCCCTCTCTGAAGACTCAGGGCGGCTCACAATACATTTTAAAAAATCATTATAAAAAAAACATTTAAAAATTAAAAACATTAAAAACATTAAAAATTCATTCACGCCATTCATGGCCGGATCTCGCTAGATCACAAGAGCGAGATCAACGGCCCCAGGCCTGCCAGAAAAGCCAGGTCTTCACAGCTTTTCGGAAGGCCAATAGGGTGGGGATGGTCCACACCTCAGGAAGTAACTGGTTCCAGAGAGCTGGGGCAGCCACAGAGAAGGCCCTCCCCCATGGGCCCGCCAGCCAGCATTGTTTAGCTGACGGGACCTGGAGGAGACCAACTCTGTGGGATCTTACCGGTCGCTAGGAGCTATGAGGCAGAAGGCGGTCTCGAAGATAACCTGGCCCTGAGCCATGTAGGGCCTTAAAGGTAATAACCAATACCTTGAATTGTGATCGGAGACCAATAGGGAGCCAGTGCAGCTTGCGGAGAATTGGTGTAATGTGGATGTATCTAGGTGCACCCACGACAGCTTGCGCGGCTGCTTTCTGGACCAACTGTAGTCTCCGAACACTTTTCAAGGGTAGCCCCATGTAGAGCGTGTTGCAATAATCTAACCGTGAAGTGACAAGGGCATGAGTGACTGTGAGGAGAGCCTCCCGATCCAAGTAGGGTCGCAATTGGTGTACCAGGCGAACCTGTGCAAAGGTCCCCCTAGCCACAGCTGTCAGATGTTGCTCTAATCTTAGCTGTGAGTCTAGGAGTACACCCAAATTGAGAGCCCATTCTGAGGGGGACAATTTCTCCCCCCCCCCAGAACCAAGGATGGACAATCAACATAGTCTTTAGAAGGCAATACCCACAGCCACTCGGTCTTGTCTGGGTTAAGTCTGAGCCTGTTGACTCCCATCCAGACCCTCACAGCCTCCAGGCATCGGCACATCACATCCACCGCCTCACTGAATTGACACGGGGTAGAGATATACATCTGGGTATCATCCGCGTATTGCTGATACCTCACCCCGTGTTGTTGGATGATCTCACCCAGTGGCTTCAAGTAGATGTTAAATAGGAGGGGAGAGGGGACCGAGCCCTGAGGCACCCCACAAATGAGGGGCCTAGGGGTCGACCTCTGTCCTCCTACCAACACCGACTGTGACCGACCAGAGAGATAGGAGAACCACTGTAACACAGTGCCTCCCACTCCCAGCTCCCTTATTCGTCCCAGCTGCATCGTCTAAGCCAAAAAAGCCACTGCAGAAGGGTTGGAAGAAGTCAAGCTTGGTGCACCAGGCCATTGAGGTCTCTCCCCCACCCCCGTTCAAGTCAGAGAGCGGGAACCCCAGCCCAGAGGGAGCAGCAGCCTGCCCCCTATGACAGCAATGATGAGGGCAAAAATGACCCAATGGTAAG